ATATGGGTACCACAAGCGCAGAATACGTGGGCATGGATCGGGTTCGGGTATGCTTTTGAGGTGTGATGCAGTACTCAGGGGAGTAACGAGTACATTGTAGGGTGAAATCACACTCAAAACCTAAAGTTCATCAAATAAATCTCCACAGAAGCCGCATGCGACATTGCAATTGATATTCAGGAGGAAAATTTTCTAAGATTACACATTCAACCGGCTGCATCGAGCTTCCAATGTACAAATTTGCTTAAATCTTGAGCTACACTATGCACCACTCAAAATATTCAAATTGGACTCTCTATTTTAGATGCGGTATCTTTAACAAACTGAAGCAACTCGCACAAAGAGTAAAAACACACAACTCACAAACACGCGGAAGAGTACAGATTTAAGGCTTGGAAATTGACTCATGGAAAAGCCCCCCAACAGTAAAGCCGTGGAACTCTTTATTCACAACAAACATCCGGAGGCATCACCCGCTAGCTGCGAGCCCCCATCAGTTGCGACTTCCGCGGATGCGACAGTTGCCACACTCGTAGGTCCCCTATCTACTCCTATCCTACTCAAAATTGTTGACAGCTCTAACTCTAAATTCTACTTCGTCTCCTCTAAATCGGAATTGAATGAATTGATCATTCTACCTAATTGCCGATGTCTTGCGGCTCCGCTGGCTTCCAGTTCCTTCATTTGACGCTCCAGCTCGTACAATTTTATCCACTTTGTGATTTGGATCTCCCACTCCACATAACAACAAAGACATCGCTCTACCCTTGAGCGCAATGCAACATCCGTTTACTATTCCAACTGCTGGATTGTCACCTCCATCTACATCAATTTTGCTTGAGCCATGACCAAATGCTCCTCAATTGCCGATAGTTGAGATCTCAATCTGCTGCAATCCGCGTCCAATTACTTCATACGTTCTAACTTCAAAGTCTGAGCAGCTTTGCAGTCAGCCAATTCCTTCGCCTTAAGTGCCAATTTAGCAGCATGCGATATATCTCGTGCCACCGGAGTTGTCGTCTGCTCCCCAACGCGCTTAAAGTCTCTCGCAAATCCCTTCTGAGACAATTTTAAATTGCCTCAAAGTTCCACCGTTATCTTTACCGCATTGTTGATGTCAACGTGAAGGTCGTTGCACTCAAGCTCCTTCTTCATATGAAGGTACTTCTCAGCTGCTAAACTTCTCTGAAGTTCTGCACAGTCCAACTCCTTCATCCGAAGTTGCTCTTCCCGCTCCTGCAAGGTAGTTGTCTTGGCCGCGCACTCAAAATTTAAGCTCGCCACTCTTTCTGCTACCTCCGCAGATAATGCCACCTTCGTCTTTGTCCACTAACTTTACATAAGATCCTGCTAACTCTAGCTCCGTGTACTTCGTCATCTTTCTATCTAAATTCTTGAGCAAGGGAGCTATCCGATCATTGAAAATGTCAGCTACACTAAGCTTGGCTGTTTTTGAGTTTTCAGCTGAAGGTCTTTATGCGCAATCAAAATCGACTGTACTCGAAGACATCTGACACAACAGCATCGCCGGTTGCTTTGCTACAATCTTTTCCACTTCCGTTATCACTCGATCCAAAAGTTCTTTGACCAAATTGGACTCCATAGCTGGCTCTTTCAACTCTGCAAACACATCCACAATTTCCTTATTCGAAGTCCAGCAGCGCCTTCGGCCTCATGCTAGTTACGTTGATCACGGCGTTTTTAGTGAGCATGGGCACTCGATGGCAGCGATCTCTGAGTTCGAGGGAGGTCGCTGAACGTGACGGCAAGGGATGATGATTCCACGAAACCAGTGCGCAGAAGCATGCAGGTCGTGCAAAGATCTTCGAGTGGGGCAAATTGATGGAGAAGTGGCCTCACTGCGCCACCCGATCGGCCAAGGCAAGTCAGTCACGAGCTGCAATGATCACAATGCTCACTCTGCTGCAAAGTGGGTAGGTGATGATTTTCTCCTCTGGTATGAGCACGTGGTTTTAGGAGGGTCCGTCGAATACTAGAAGAAATTGGTTGTCATAAAGAGGAGGTGAATGATGCTGGATTGAGGCGAATATCTGTTAAATTTGTGGCCTCTCACCCAAGTCCCAATTGAATCCTACTTCCAAGGACAAATTGGTCTCTTCAGTGTGCTTCAAAACGCTCAAGTTTTGTTTCGAGAGCGACTTCAACACTACACATATATTCAACTTCTTGTCAGACCCCGGAACGTCGAGGTTCTAGTTCTGTCGCTTGATGATCACCCCCTCGGTTTCAGCCCCTCGATCCATGCAAAAAGCGGGAGGTATTAGTTCTAATATTGACTTGATTTTCCGGCCAATCACTCGTCATCAGCCTACTGTACATGCACCAAAACGTCTCCCGACCACCTGAGAGATTTGTCTCTCCTGGTCGATCGGACAACATGCCGAGTCTCAGAACTGGACAGTACAGGACCGAAGTCCGCTCTCTCTCCGAGACCCGGACCTTAACGAGCGAGCATGTTGACCGAACAGAAAGTCGGGTCTGTAGAGAGTCCAGGTTCCGGAACTCAGGAACAGTATTCGACTGTCGAAGATCTTCCGGCGGGCGAGAATCCTTAAACAATTCCTATTAATGAGCCTTCGTTGCTTCCGCTCGGGATGCTTCCGATTTCTGCTGCAGTCGGTCGCGGATCGCGGGATCGTCGTCTTGTGCGTAAGCAGGAACAAGAGAAGAGTCGGTCCCCGGTGCTCTCGGAAGTCCGGGGCCGAGTCCTTGGAATCGGCCACTATGTTCGGTCCTTGTCTGCTGACATCAGTCTTCGCACTTTGACTTCAGTCCGGCGCTCTATTGCTGGGACCGATTGCTCAGTAGGCTTTGACAACGCAAGCAATCGGTAATATCCTTCCACGCGTCAGATGAGAATTCTCTCTTTGAGATCCTTCTGTTCCTTCTGATTCGGTTGTGACATCTCAGTGTCCTTCGGATCACGAGACTGAGATTGTGATGATGAAGTTGGTAACACGGAGCGGATTTTATCATTCGATTTCAGCATTATGAGGAATGTTCAGAAAGAAGGGTTCGCTCTGTTTTCTCCACTGTTCTCTCGTTCGTTCTCATCATTGTGGATGTGAATTGGTCAGGGGTGCCTCCTAGGTAATGGTAATAAATCAAGCCCGAGGGACCCGAAGGGTCAAAAGGCTAAAAAGAACACAAAACAATCAACCAGTCGAAACCAAGGGAAAACCCCCTCTAAAGCGGCAAGAGCGGTAGAGCGACGATTAATAACTGGTATGGCGATTAGCGTTTATAACTGTATAGCTTCACTGAATTCATACAAGACTGAATAGAAAACTGCTAAAGTCGGAGTCAGATTTAATCTCTCTTGAGCAGCCGAATTTCTTATGGAGCGAGACGGCCCTACTGCAAATTCCTCATGAAGTATGAAGTCAAACTTTGCTATTCAAACCCACATGTGACGAGTATTAATGACGCACTTATGTGCTCTTTCAACAGTGGAAGATTTAGCGCTGATTTGACGCGCGTGGGGTATGATTCATCCCATCACATGTTCATCCCGGATGAACATGTACATGCTCCACTGGACTTTCAACTCTGATTGCGTATCGGAAGAACCTTCCCATGCAAATGCAGCAAATCGCCATATCCATAAATCGATGGGATCTTTGAAAGTGTATAAGTCTCCAGATCCCTCGAACCAAATCGAAGGGATTCTAAATTTGGACTGTATGACGGACTTGCTGACTGGTAGAATTTGCTGATGTACTCCCACAGTATTTGTAGAGCTGATCCTCGTTCCAATGACCAGATTCTCATGTTTGAATCTTCGAGGGAGGCTGATCCCCAGAAGCTCGGTGAACTACTTTCTGACCAGTGATTCGTTCACAGGCAGCACGACAACCTTGGACTATAGAGTCCCCCTCGACTGCAAAAGCTAAAGCTAAAGCAACCTCTCGCAAAGAGGAGCTGAAGCCTCCACATCCTTTGCCACCAGCCTCGCAGGCATGGAGAGATCTGCGAAGCCACAGTCGATGGATCCACCACAACATCGCTATCTCCTTAGGAGGATATGCACGAGAATCAACTCAAAGACATGTTAACACTTGATGAAATAATCATGAGTATTATGCGCTATCACGTTATCCTCAAACCAGCATCACTTGAGAAAAACAACTCTATGGTAGATTTGATTCTCACCTGGTTAGAAAAAAATAGCTCTTGATGTCTCGTTCATATTCCATCTACATTTTATAAATGTAAATAGTGTAATTTCTTAGACCAATTGTCACATGTCTCATGAAATAAATATAAAATAGACGCTCATCATGTATTTCGTGTTTGTACATGAAGAGGTATATATATCATGTGGAATGAATGTTGGTATACTTTGTAATCAATTATTTACGCCCAATTGGTACACTATGAGAGATCTTAATCATTCCTTTCCCTACAATGGGACGAGAGAAATTCAAAAACCAATTCATTTGGTAAAGAAAATAAACATTATTGTTATAATCTTGGGCTACATAAAGTTATATGTACTATGCACTGCCTAAGGTTTTTCATGCACTAAGGTGCATGAAGGTGCACTATAGTTTCATAGTTCCAATTATAATGTTCGACAGTAGTATTCTATGTACTATGCACATTGTTTCACCGTGATGTAATAAGAGCACATTGAATGGGGAATTTCCTCGGTTTCATTCTCCAGAGCATTTATTGGGCGTTCCCGTACTTCGTGGCTCTTAATCTGGCTTCATTTATAGTCGGAGTGCTGGGATCGGGGCTAGCTCTTCTGTGGCTCCATCCGTCCAAACCTTGACGGGCTATAAGCACTTTTTGCTACTACAGAGCATGTGAAAAGATAACGTAACGTACATGTACTTACGTATGCCCTGGCAGGTTTCGGACAAAAGGCTGTTCCCGTGGAGGTAGACTCGGGTCGGCGAACAGTCGCCTATGCCCGGCGGAAGACATGGGAAGCTATGAGAAGCAGAGGTGAAGACCGTAGGGCTCTGTCCTCAGAGCTCAGCCAGTGCTGGCAGAAAAATTGTGGAATTATGAAGATTACACATGTGGAACATACTCGAGCAATATGGTCAACGTTCTGCCGTGCTCCTCGTCATGAGGTGGGGGCGTTCATGCGGAGCGGACCATCAGGACCCTGTTGACGGACTTGCACAGGTCTCAGGATGAACACGAGACAGAGAGAGACAGAGACAGAGAGAGTCAACGAGCTGGGTAGTCTAGTGACAGCTCCCCCATGGCCAGGATACTTATAACAGCCGTGTACCCGGGCACAAAGAAAATGTCGTCGGAAGTTGGATGAGAGCACGATTCGATCCGAGATTTTGGACATCAGGTTGATTTGACTGTGGAGCCGCTGTGGTGGTCCGCGTCCTGCACCTTCGGATGCAGATGTGAGCTATATTGCGGAGATCATTCCTGTGGAGGTGGCATATCGTCTTTCAGCCATTGCTTGGTCCGGGTGTTCCTGAAGCACTCAGCTGAACATCTGCATCGTTACATGTTCTTGTCACTGCCTGTACCTCGATTCCCGGAACGAATTGCGGGTCTCTGCGCACAGATGATCACTGAGCTTCTGGAATTCCAGTTGTGTTGCTGTATCCAATCTCTGGGATAGGCCTGGCCAGAATATCTTTGACATGGCTGATTCTTCTCCTGCTCCTTGGAGGAGCGCCAGCTCCAGAGAGCAGCCACTGTACCCTGTAAGCACACGTACCCATCCGGATGAGTTTCCCCGCAGCAGGAGTTATGGACCGGCGTCTGATCGACATCCTGGTGCGTATAGAGGAGGTTCCACCGAGGGACTCATTTCGATGTCTGGGCCTCTGTTGTCTCGGAGGACATTCGCTGATCATTCGAGACCACCTTTGAGGACCCGTCAGAGCAGCTTCACCGAAGCTATGGAAGAAGCTATTGCAGTGGAGATTGCCCGCAGCGAGAGCACCTTAGATCCTACAGACATATTACCAGAGTCGCTGGGTGAATGGCAAGAAAAGTCAATGGGTGTGCAAATGATGAAGAGGAATCACAGTCTTATGACATCCAGAAGACGCTCGAGTTCTCAAATTTCGATGGGCTCCATGTCCATGTCCTCGAGGTACATAGATGACGGGAGAGCTATACCGGATTCTTCTGCCGCATTCACTAAGGATGAGTTGTATTCTGCTCCACTTGACGGGCCCAGGCACATGTACAGACTCGGAGAGACGGCATTTGCAGCAGGTCCAGATGAAAAGGGACCCAGTGGCGAGGATAGCAAAGGCTCTGTCGTGGACCTCCCGGAAGATTACTACTCCGCTTTAAGTGTTGCTCCTCAAGCTACTCTTATCCATTTAGTCAGGCTATACCACAAAGCACTCCTAGATCATGGACTGAGTGAAGATGCTCAGAAGATTTCTGATGTCTTGGCGGATTTGGAAGCTGCGGATGAGGAGGAAGCGGACATGGAACTCACCGGCCTCGACCTGCTTTTGAAGAATGGACTTCTGAAGTACTTGATGAGCATCAATCCTTATCTGATTCCGATCCCCTCCCAGGTCAGTGCTCCTCTGGCTTTGAGAGGTAATGGCCGGTTGGACAAAGAGAACGACAACTCTAACCTCTTATTCATTCAGCACACAACCTCGAGTCATCTTGTGGATTTTTCAGTGAGGTGCTGTTAATCGCAGGTGGAACTCTTGCTCAGTGGTTAAGAGGTCACTTTTGAGCTGTTTTGTCATGATCGCACCTTGACATTTTATGTTGTGACACTTGAGCAGGTGATCAAATTCAAAAACCTAAGCTGCACCAAAGCGGTCGCGCTCGATCCGGGGTACGAGTCAATTCGCACAAAGGTGATAAGCATAATTCTATGTAATACTCCACTACTACATTATCAAGACTGTCTGTCAGTTGTTTTGCGTAATTAAGATTTGAAAATCGGAGATCTGACTCTCAAACTGGCTGTCATCATGTAAAAGGACATATGTACTTAGAGCGCAAAGCGAAAAAACTCAGGGTGATGACCTACTGAAATCGTGCAGTTTTTTTTGTCAATGACAGATTGTTTCCTCTTTAAAAGGACCTTTCAAGGAGGCTAGTGTGCAACAGGTGCAGCTAATGAAAAATGTAACGGGATATGTCATGCCAGGAACTCTTACTCTTATTTTGGGTAAGTTGGTGTCATATGGGACATACCACAATTCTCTTATCATGGACCGTCTTCTTTTTAGCGCATGTAAGAAGTCAGTTCCTATACACAGCGTCCAGATGAAAGGGATTTCAAGTGTGGAAGTGATGTGAATGGTGAGAGTATTTAGAGAACACTTAAGCTTCGAGCTGCAGGTTGCCCTTTGGACTTAAGAAGGTGTTCCTGGGTCGAAACTTTGGACTCTGACCTTCTTGATCATCCTATCGTGCAGGGCCGCCAGGGTGTGGGAAAAGCATTATGCCACAAGTTTTAGCAGGTCGGCATGAAGGACCACCAAAGAATCTCGAGGGAATGCTGACCTACAATGGCAAAAATGTGAGTGAAATCAATCATCACCGTTTGGTGACCGTGGTTGAACCCCAAGACTTCCATCTGCCCACCCTGACTGTAAAGGAAACCTTGCAATTTGCCAACGAATGCACTCAGTATCTAAAGCCAAAAGATTACCAGGACCAATTAAGAGAGATCATGGGGGAGTCACTCAAATTGGGCCAGGACCCTAAGCTGGAAGCAGGATTGAGTATGTTAGGTCTGAAACGTGTGGTGGACAAACCTATCGGAAGTGCTATGTCGCCCACTCTCACCGCCAATGAGGTTCATCGAGTATCTGTTGCTGAAGCGATGGCGGGTACTTATGCCGTTTACGTGTACGACCATTTTAACAGCGGAATAGACGACCCTCTTGCGTTCGATTTGCTCACTGCTATAAGGATATACACCAGAGTTCGGGGAACTTCTGTTATTGCCACAATGGTCCAACCGTCTTCAGAGTGTGTGGAGCTTTTCGATCGCATCATCCTTCTGAACCTTGGTGTCGTTGTCTATCAAGGTCCAAGGCAGGATGCCCTCCCTTATTTTGAAAGCCTTGGGTATGGTTCAACCTCCACTGAATCTGCTCCTAGATTCTTTTCTTGTTTAAAACACGACAGACAAAGAAGACTGTGCTTAGATGGTGCCATATAATGCGGTTCAGTTGAGAGCAATGTTGACTTCTACTGAATGCCTTGATTGTCAATGCCCCCAACATGTAGACTTTTAAGTTGGCTCAGGTGTATCATATTTGGAAATTCGGGTTAATTTTCCGTGACTCGTTTTGCAGTTTCTTCAAACCAAAACACGTGAGCATTGCTGAATTCTTAGAGGAAGTGACAACGTCTGATGGACTACAATACTTGCAGCCAGGATTTCAGAGACTTGATTTGAATGGCTTCGAGACTGCCTACAAAAATTCAGACGCATACAAGGATGTTTGTAGAGTAGTTGACAGCCCGGAACTTCTTCACCAGTACTGGGTGCAGGTAAGCCCAACGAGTTTCTTATTCCCAACCTGATGCGAAACAACTTCTGATCTATTAGTTTGACAATGATCATATCACGAGGATCTTCCGACATCGGCTCCACAATTTGTAATAGCGCAACGTCTTAGCGTAGTAAATAATTATCACAAAGCTGACTTAATAATTCTGAATCTTTGCTGAATGAACAGATCCTGTACTTAGGGTTTGAGAGGTCATGTTCAATCAGAGGCTGTAAGAATAATGACTAGATTGAGTAAAGTCAATCTTTAGTCTCATGAGAGCAGATAACTTTCAAGCTTTGTATTTAATCAAGTGTGCAATTTTTGGAATTTAATTTTGCAGGGTTCTCAGCCTTGGGGAGTAACTTTTGCAAAGAGTGAGGCAGGAAAAGAAGATGAATCTCCGATCACTGTTGTAGAATCTGTTAATGAGAAAGAAGGAAGTCTGACAGAGATATCTATGAACCACACGGCGTCCGTGAGGAAAGATGATACGCTAGTTGCCACTGGAGGACTGAAAGGGCAGCTGGAGTATGTGAAACTCAATCCTTCTAAGCTCAGTTCTTTCCTTGAAGAACCTCCGGAGACGGCCAGGTTGCAGTTGGAGAGACCTCATACAAATGTAATTCTCTACGTCACCCATGACCACTACTTCATTCTTGGATCAAGTGATTTAGATTTATCGAAATCGTTATTGCCGACTATTAGTTCACAGGATGTCCAGCAGATAAGTGATGTGAAGAAGTCTGCGAATGATCTGACAAATGAAAGAACTGAAGAGAGATCGAAGATGCAAATCATTGAACTGTTGATTTATGTATGTTGCTAAAATCTCTCTGCTTTGCTGTCGGACTGTGTGTGCAAATCTCAGTGGGAGAAGAAAATGAATCAACCTCAGTTTCAGCGAAAGTACGTGCAGGACTGGTGGCCAGAGTTTTGTCTCTTATTCAAGCGCGAACTTACAATGAAATGGCGTAACAAGCTTAGTCTTATCATTCGTTTTATTCAGGTGTTGCTCAAAGAAACACTCTTGGTTGACGCACAATGTCGTCGGATTTTATGACTTTCAGATGTTCACTTAGAGTTCACGCAACTCAGCCAATAAGTTAACCTTCGTCCTTCTTTTAAACTGTTTCTCTGTCAGTAAAGTATATGTAATGGGATGGGAAGCATGGACCACCTTGTTGCTAATATGCCCGAAAGTGCATGTCTCATTCACTTCAGTGTTGGATTAGGCTCATTTCTTTTGTACTTTTGCGTTGGTCTCCAGGTTTTGATACTCGCCTTATTTATGGGCTTCTTGTTCTTTCGAATAGAGAGGCTCCCGGATTCATTGGATATGAGCCAGTTTCGTGGTGTCACCTTCATAACTATACTCGACATGACACTATTCAGCATGGGGCAACTTCCACTTCTTTTCCAGGAACGACCTGTTTACTACAAACAGCAAGGGGCCCATTTTTTCCGTCCATCTACGTATCTTTTCGCCAAGATATTTGGTAGTATACCATTTTCTCTTGCTGAGGTATGTTCAAAGTTTCGTGCTTTCTGTTCGTAAGGATCTATCCCTGCGCCATCTGTATCATTGGTGGTGATTTGAGTTAAGATGCAGATCAGATTCAATCAGCTGTCTCGAGGTTCCTTGATAAACCAATGAGCTACAATATGAACGAAGAGTATAAGTTCGCTTAACACAACAGGGCTATGATTATACTTACAACATTGAGCTTCACGACAAAATCCAGTAGACAAATTCAGTATAATTTTTAAAATAACGGGATTTGAAGAAGACACAATATGCATCCTGACTTTCTTCCTAAACGTTATTTGACAATGCATATGCTTGAATTTCACAACCCCTTCATTGAAAAATTCATCAGTTTTCTCAATGATGTGCTAATGTATAACTTCGCATTATGTCATGTTGGAGTTGAGCTGCCGGTTGAAAATTCAGTCACAAGTTTGTAACTAAGTCCTGCTCTTTAAATGTTCAACAGGCAACAACGTGGACAGCTTTAGTCTACTTCCTCACGAACTTATCCATCAGCGAAGGAGGTTGGAATTTTTGGGTATTCTACGTTGTTATCATTCTTACTGTCATGCATGGAGCTGCCGTGGTACGCTGTTTGAGTGCGTTGCTCCCTGATCTAGCAGCTGCGGGTGGTGTTCTCGGTAAGATTCCAACCGTTTTATTAAGCTCACGCATTTTACTTACTAGGGATTGCGCTCAATATACACAAATCATTCGTTCATCTGTATGAAATTTGAGATCAGCAATCTATCACAGGCTCTTTGGGAAAGATATGGTAAAGTATGGAACTCTGGCTTCTGCCAACCCAAAGATCTTAAGATGAAGTTACGTCTCTAACCTGAACAAGCGGCTCTTTGGGTTCCCTTTCTTTAATGAAAAAAGACCAGAAAAGTAGTGTGCGTCGTAGATCTTGTTTAGATTCTTACTCCGTAGCATTATGGTCTATGGAAGGAACAAAAACCTCTTGTTTTAGATTACACGATCGAACTGATGCATGGACTGGACTCTCTTCTTATGCTCAAGGTCTCCTTGGATGTCATGGACAAATGTGCAGGTCTTTTGGTCGCAATCTTCATTCTCTTCTCAGGGTTTCTGGTTCCTCGTGATATTGTTCCGAAGTACTGGATCTGGGCGTTTTATATCGATCCCTTACAACAAGCTATAACCGCTTTGCTTATCAATGAGTTCAACTCTGAGAGCTACAAGGTGCTCTGCCGAGATGTGCCGGACTTGACGAAGATTGGCCAGTGTATCGGCTTGCCCGACGAGACTGTTGGGCATGCTTTCTTACTACGATTGCAATTTTACACCGAAAAGAAGTGGATCGGGGTTTCGATCGCTGTGATGGTTGGCTGGTTGATAATGTGGAGTTTGATCAATTACTTGGCTCTTGCCAAAATCAGGCACAGGGCAATACCAGCCATAGCCCCGATCGGAGTGGTAAGTTGATAGCTTGTGTTCAGATTTAAAAAAACCTTCGTTCATGCAGAAAAGCCCATTGCCTAGCTTGTAGCCGTCGCTTGCTACTCGGTGAGTACTCAGTCATGCAAGCGGTTACTCTACACAGGTCCATGCCTTCGTCTGCCTCCCTTACAACGACGTCTCAGGAGTGTATTGAGCAAGCTGTTTCATTCATTGCAGGAGAAGTATCAAAGATTTTCAGAAGACCATGATCTGGAGCAGGCGACTGATTTCCCTACTCTTAAGCTATCCTTGGCTCCGGTACCAGTGACTTTATCTTGGCATGAACTAAGTTACAACATTCTGATTCCAACCATTCGTAAGGAGATCAGCATCCTGCATTATGTTTCAGGCTGGGCTGCACCAGGAGACATGGTTGCCTTGCTTGGAGCTGCAGGTTCAGGAAAGACAACCCTTTTGAATTGCCTAGCAGGTATGGATTCAGACATGTCAAGTTTCATCTCCCAGCCTCAATCACTTCGAAGAGATTGTTCAGCCCATCCCATGCCATATATTTACACATCGCTCTATTACTGTGTGCAGGGCGGAAAGTAAAAGGGCGAATGGGTGGTCAAATTCTGGTAAATGGATATCCTCGCGTGCAAGCTGCCTTCAACCGCGTCGTTGGATCTTGTGATCAGCTGGAAGCCTATTCAATTTTCATGACTGTGAAAGAAGTGGTGGCATTTAATGCTGCACTTAATCTTGAGAAAACGACGACCCCTGAGCAACGAAGAAAGTTTGTAGACGAGGTTAATCCTCCAACCCTTTCCCAATGCAGTCGTGGCTTCTGTAGCATGAGTGGAGAGGTCGGCCTTTGTACATAAAATTTATTTTCAGTGAAGTTAAAAATTTTACAATCAAGGAAATTTGTTTCTATCCATCAAATGTCTAACTTACAGAACCGGCTCTCCTCCAGATCATACTGCTGGTGGGGCTAAAACGAGTTGAGAACAATCTAGTCAAGTCACTGGGGACTATCTACTTGACGATGGCTGAGGCTAGACGAGTTACGATTGCTGCCGAATTGGGGCGAAACCCAAGTGTATTATTTATGGATGAGCCGTTCAAGGAGTTGGACAGTTCTTCATCTCTGCATCTGGTGCAAACCTTGAAGGTATGTTCTCTTTTGTTGAAGTCTGCCTTGTTCTGTCGGAAAACTATCCCCTCTTCTGAATGTAGGCGCTGAATATGTGGAATGGGCATAGTGTGCTCGACAGTGGTGATCGACGTCGCATCCACATTAAGGTTAACATGAACTGGTTGGTGGTTGATTTAGCGAGGCCCTCACTCATTAATTTATGTGCTCATTGTAACAGCACATTACAAACACGGGAAGAAGTATAATTGCTGCAGTACAGAATCCCAGTCAGAGAATTTTCGGCCACTTCTCAAGCGTACAAATAATGAAGCGCGGAGGCGGAGAGCTGGTCTATTTTGGTCCTGTGGGGAAAGACAGTGAATACGTGCAGGTTTGTTAGTCTGGAACCTGCGCTTTTCTTCTTCCTTTTCCGAATAGGCTACAGAAAAAGCTCCTATTATATGCCTGCGAGTTCTCGTCGAGGTTGACATGTTTAGTCTTGCTCAAGTGTATGGTCCAAAGATGACCCACCTATGTTCGCACAGTCACGGATCCAAATGCTCCCATCTCGATTTGCCTTTCATGATTTCGAGACAATAGATCACTTGACAATATATGAAGGTGAAGGTGAAGGTGGTAAAAGGGTTCGAAGAATCGGTCTCACGATCAAAGAGTGTGTGTACAACAATTCACTAACATGAATTGTTGTTGTTGTTGTTGCGTTTGTGTAGGCTTACTTTGAAACCATACCAGGAACACGCTTCTGTGCGCAGAGGACGTCCATAGCTTCGTTTGTTCTGGATGTAATCGGAGATGGGACCGCAGAGCGCACAGCTTCCAGGGACTACGCGTTCGAGTATCGCACCAGCGATTTGGCTCTGCACAATCACATCCAGCTGCAGCGAGTGAAGCGCTCGAAGGGGGTGCTGGGACCCGAGGTCACAGACACGAGTCTCGGAGCATCTTTGAGGACCAATGGAAAGTACGTCTTCCAAAAGATGCAGAAATACTACTGGAGAAACGTCCCTTACAGCTGGGGGAGAATTATCTCCAGCGGGATGATCGCAGTGCTGCTCGGCTCCGTGTACTTCAACATAGGCTACCACACGACCCTCCTGATGAACGTCCGGGCCGGCAGCCTTTACATCGCCACCCTGCTCCTCGCCATGACCAACGTCAACGCTGTCCTCCCCCAGTTCCTCGTCCAAAGGCAGAACTACAACCGGGAGAAGGCCAGCGCACAATTCAATCTGGCCTTTTATGGCATGAGCTGGACCTTCGCAGAGGTATGGTATGCTCGTAAGTCGGAATTCTGAATGGCAGCACTACATGCGTCACGAACGACAGAGTGCAGCATAGATCGCCAAAGTTTTGCAGATGATATATGGAGCCAACTTCAGACTGACCCCCTGGAGATGTGGCATGGCTGCTGCTTTTCTGGTTCTAGCTTTTTTATTTTGTACACTTCTGACAATTTCCCACATTTTCCCACACCGGTTTGCAGTTTCAGTACCTCGGAGTGGCCACGTTGGTGAATTCAGCCATCTTCTGTCTCATGACGCAGATGGCCGTCGACAGCGCTGCTGATTTCTTCCAGTACTGGTTCGTTGTTCTCGAGCTGACGGTGGCCCTCACTTTCATGGGACTTCTGATCGCCTCAGTCTGCGTCGTGCCCCAGGTATGCATACCCTCACACTCTCTCTACTACGACTGAGTTTCAGTGGCTCTTAGGAGTATAACGAAGTTACAGTTACAGTCGCAGTTGATCGCGAGGTTCGTTCACGTTGTGTTTGGACGTCAGGAGGGAAGAGATGGGTTAGTTTGGGTTTGGTGATGGGTCGACCGGCACTGACGTGGTCGTGCGTGGTTGACGACGCAGGTTGCCGGGGTGATCGTGACGATAATGATCGGAGCCTGGACGGGGACGTCCGGCGTGGTGATACCGAAGAAGAGGATCCCGCCTCAAGCGGTGTGGATATTCTGGACGAATCCCATTCAGTACGCACTGAACAGTCTGACGTCGCTCTCGTTCTACTGCGACGTGGACGGCGCCAGGTGTTTGAACGGCGGCCTGAACCCCAGCTGCGCGACCGACCCGCTGGCGTGCACGCAGTGCAAGTGTCCGCGTTTGAGCGATGCGAACAACGCATTCGTGTGGACCACGTTGAAAGATAACCGGACCTTGAAGAATGACCGGATCGGCCTTGATATGGTTGCCCTTTTGGGGTTCATCGTCCTCTTCCGCTTCCTCACGCTCATGGGCTGGCGATGGCGAGACGCACGGGCAAACCGGAAGAACCTGTAGGCCCTCGTAGCCACGCTTTGTAATATGTTGTGAAATAAAACCATTTTTTTCCTCGCGCCACTCGATGAGCCGGTCATATGCTTGCTCGGCATGGTCCTTCTCAGCCTTACGATCTGGCCAGATCCCCGATTTTTCTGAAACCTTTCGCCAGCATGCCAGACCGACCCTAGCACTTGGGGGTCAGAGCTTTACCACGTGAGCTCAACTTACTGCGTTTGACATCTGTGTGCTTTCCCCGTACGTGGTTGCGGTCGCTTGTTGGTGACCTGGACATTTTCCGAAATTCTGAAGTTTTTTGTTGTCAAGTCGTCGGCATTGTGATTCCTCGTAAAGGTGAAATATTTATTTACTATATATTTAAATTATGTTTATTTGCCAAGAGAATGCTGTTTCTATGGTACAGCAGTCCTTGTGATCGACGTGGGAGAACAGATGAACCTATGGACCTCAGAAAGTACTTGGGATTTCAATGCTAACCGCCACGTGACTGGCCAGTACCGTTAGCGCTGAATTATCCAGGTGCTGCTGATAAACATGGACCTTCAGTTTCGCCCCTCAATAAAATAAAACGAACATGTCAACAGACATGGGAAGGGGACTTCGAACGCTAACTTACTGAGTGCTCATTCCTGGATTGGATGGAGAAATAGGCAAGCTCTGGGAATGAGACGTCAGGAATTCATTCATAGGCCAATTTTTGATTGAATAGAAAAGAAGATAGCCAAAAGAACGCCCCCAAACAGCACTTAGTCCTTACCTACGTACAGCTTCTTTCGGTTCTGGCGCTCTCTTATGATGGAAACAACAACCACACAGATACAGATTTATCGGGCGTAGCCCAAACACCTAAAGAAAGGTCTATCTAGAGCCATCCCTTGTCTCGGCGGTGATATAAGATTTTGAGGTTAAATTATAAACCAGTTGCAGTCCCTTGTGGAATGAAACATCAAGTTGAGATGATTGTCTCTCATCCACAGCATTGCACGAAGAGAGTTGTTATGCCGTACGCTCTACCTTAGCAAATGCTCTAAACTATTCGTTTATCATAAGTTCAAAGATGGTGTCTTCCCATCGTTTATTATATCTATTTGGCCCCTACTCTTTCTTGTAGGTTAGAATTATTGACCGAATTGTTTGCTGTTGTGTCGACCTTGGATGTAGTTCCAACCGTGTGCCAACAATGAAACATCAAGCATGGCACGTTTCTTCTGACCTCGGCCGGGGATTTGTCTGGCCTCTCTCTGCTTTGTGTTGTGGTCCATGGTTTCTTCGCGTTTTCCATGCATTTCGAAGTGGTGGAGCCTGAAGGTGTTGATGAGAAGAGGGATTACAGTGAGGTATCACTTACAACGGAGAGCGGGCGTGAAGGCCATGTGACTCTAGGCACTGGAAACTGAAGATACCTCCTGCGATCATTCGATGATCACAACTGGCCTGAGAAAAGTCAGACTCATACATGACTAAACTGTTAGAGATGGGTAATTACCTGATTCTGGGAAGAGTCATGATTTGCAAATCAGGCGCTGAGTCCAGATTACTGTTTCATGATTCTCCCGGGCCTGGACATAATCTCCATTCTCCAGTCCGGCCAGCATATACCGTGGGAGTACCACGGACTCGTCGCTTTTAGCGAGAAAGTAAAAGCTGTAGTCATTCTTCAGTGCCTCAAAGACGGAGTCATCGGCTGCTACTGCCGGTATCGCAATTCTGGACAGTCGTTAAAACTTCAGAATTGTTTGAAATGGCAGGAGATTCCAGTACCGCACCAGGTTGGTAGGTGGCCAATGAGAATGACGGGGCGCAGGGCCATGGTTTGTATGAGGTCCAAATGCTTCCAGCTACTCGTGAGCACATGCTCGACGGACAGTCATCGACAGCCTCTTCCTGTGACAGCAAAATTCACTACAGTTGTGCTGGAGATAAGTACTGAGTCACTCTTCCTTAAACCCACCCACCACTTCCTGCCCATAAATATAATATTTCCGTCGGTCTGATCTCGTCCGTGATCAACATGATTCCTTCGCTGCGCCCATGAACCCATCCATCCTCTGTCAAAAACCTTGTCTGTTTCATTTCGTTCCGGTCTAGCTCAAGATACGACGACTGACAAACTCGATCGGCCATTCAATCCGTTCACATATTTCTGTCAAGACGACGAATGCCCTCGCCATGATCATGTCGCCATTCCGAGCTTCTAGACCCATCACGATTTGAGACGACTGGTGGCCACGTACGCATCGGTCGCTATAGACTCTCCTATTTCTTCCTGGAAATAGCTCGGAAATGGGGCCTTCCCATCCCTTTTGCTAGATCACCGGCTTCCCTCCCCTTGTTTCCTCCCGGGAAGACTCGGATACGGAAAGAGCAAAAGATACGGATTCCATCTCCACCCCGATACAGAAAGAGGACCTATCGTAGGGCTTCAGAACGAGTACAGCGGCAATTTATCCTCCTCACTACAGCTGTGAGGAACGTGGGGTCGCTCGGGGACTCGGGATGATTTGTCAGCTCGGTCCTCTCGAAGGTCCGACTATTCCTTCAAAGAACTCGAACCCAACAAGGTCGAGAACTAAATCCTGGAAACGGCACTCATCATCGTTCATGCTCCTCACAGTGAGTTCAGTGGCGGAGCCCTGAACCCAATCCCCATCATCACATTCGCAGCAAAATCCAATTACCCCGAAGCCCATGCTTAATTTTCCGCCACGAGAATCGCTTCACCCCTCGAGCTGACGCGAATGGGTACCCTCGAGGCTGCACCGAATCAAAAGACATCAACGGAGGATGCTTTCTGCAGGGGTTTATGTGTCCGGAACGAGCATCTCCGTAGGATCGACGGGGCGTATGGAAGCGCAGATGCACGAGCAGCGTAGTCTAGAGTATTCTAGCCGTGGTCACGTCACCGGGCGAAGGGATGCTGACTCATCCTACTTTATCCCTGTCACCGGAGCCCACCCACGCGTCACGGCGATTGGGTGATATGCTGACGGAAACGTCGGAGGAGATCGCTTGAAAAGATCTAAATAAGATTCTCGACGTCTACTCGGAGAGTCAGGGCCGAGCGCTAGCGATCGACAGAAATCCTTCCCGAAGAACGGATTTCCGCCTCGCAGCCACGAAGTTGACGAGCTGGGGTGAAAAGTGCATCGTCATGATTACGACGCAGTCCCATGTGGCACAAGAGGTCCACCGTGGCCGGCGGCTTCGATATTGTTTGGTGGGATTTTTTCAGAGAACGATTGACAATGGATCCTTTTATGGATCATCTTTACCTTCGCGCGAGGTGGTCGCCGGATCGAGGTCCACGTGTCGCCCGACCACGAGATCTACGTCCGCGGAACTATGACCCTGTCGAAGCTGACCGGTTTCTCGGCGCAGCCCGGAAACTCGCGACGGCAACGTTCTTGACATTGACGATGTCGATATCGATGCCGGCATGTCAGGAACGGCAGAGGTCGAGTGAGGAACAAGGAGGACCGGCAACCGGTCTGTCGGACGGTTTTCGTCAATAAATAGATAAATCAAATAAGTAACACCGGAAGGAGATGGATAATGGGCCGAAGGATTGGTTCGGTGAAAAAATCTGCCGGTGACCTGGATAGAGTTGTACGAGAGCTGTCAGTTTAGTATCTACGCTTTTGCCTTTATCATTAAATGACTGGCTGCGATTGGGAGGATATCAGCGACGGGCACATCGTAAAGATTTTTGCCGTATTTCTTGTTCCGGAATGATACGGACGGATGAGGATATGGCCCCCTTCGCTCGCTCCGGGGTCCGGGGTCCGCGGTGCGCTTTTCCAGATACGGACCCCACGGAAAAGAGGTCCTTTTGGTCCTAAGGATATGAGGATTTCGGCATTGGCTCCTAGGAGTCCCGGCCCTCCTCCAATGACCAGTCGCGTAACATATATATAACATATAAAGGCGGCATTCTCCAGCCCCGGTTTTATCTGTTGCGGTCTCTGCTTCCCATTGGTGCCAGCGGAATGAAGGCGTACATTAGCCGAGGTCACGGCCTATGAATGAGCATGCGGCCTCTCCAGAAGCTGCGCCTGCGACCTAACTCTAACTCCTGCCCGCGGACCTCGACCCCTCAGTCTCCGTTCCTGCTGTCGGTGTTGCGCTTTGACCCGACGACGACGAGCCAATGGCATGTACTGTCGAGTGGCGGGTCTGGATGAGATCCATCCAGCTCACCGAGGCGTTGCAAGTGGCAGTCGGTGATTGGCGCGGAGCAGATGGTCATCGACGCGCGCATGCGGAAGTAAATTCACTCTCTTCTTTGAGAAAATCTTCACAATGGAATACCGTAAAGTATTGTTGTAAACATGGTGTCCTCTTTGGAAGAAAACTTATCTGCTACTGGCAACAGACACGATAGAAAATTAAGGTACGATGGAGAACATGTCATTCTGCCACCCCAAACTGTCCTCATCTACAGTACTCTAACATGAGATCCTAACTAATCATCGCCTAACTACAATGTTGTTATCTCGATGATTATCCCAACAAATATTCTTCGGATAGTAACGAAGTGGGGTTATTCATAAAAGTCTCCACACTTTTGTAAAAAAGAGTGATAACTATGTGTTGGTGTAGTAAGCTTTCTCTTTTTGCTTACACTCATGTGCAAGTCAATCCATGATTCTATTTACTATCTAATCCTGAGTTCAGTAATCATGTCTTGTAAATTTTGCCATCTGTCGTGACTCATTTTCGCCATACATCGTTGACATGCTCTATTCACAACTCACACGTACATACATAAAGAACGAGAGTGTACACACACAAAGTAATCACAACTCGCCCCCCTAGTTGGCGGTAAGGTTCCTCTAATTTCCAGGTAGCACTATCTAAAACTAAATGCTATGCACCTTCATGCGAACCAGTAGGTCGGGTGCTATGCCGTCCCATCGTTAATCGCGTATCTGCAATCGATAACATGTGAAGATCAAGTCATCTACCCTCTGAAGTACATCGAGAACAAACCCTCCGTCCATTAGGAACAACATCGATAGGTGGAGTCAAGCACGACATGTGCCATCCCATAGAACATCTATCACACACCAACATA